CTCACCCTTCAGACCAGTAGGGGCCCGACCACAGGAAACCTTCCACAAGAAGCCTAACCCTGAGACCCCAGGACGTCCATTGACTTTTGGTGGGAACGTCACGCACGCCACAGCAAAACCGTCGAAACCCAAGAAACCAAGGGCACCCTGGAGGCAAGCAGGGTGTTTCTTTGGGTCTCCACTGCAAACGCTGGTGCCTCCTGAGACCTCACCCTTCAGCATCACCCCTTGCAAGTCGATGCTGCGACCGCTGCTTGAGAGGCCTGCGGGCAGATCGCCGCGCCTTTTGCAGCCTCCGACGCGCACGCCCGGCGCGAGCTCGCAAGCGACGAACGCCAACGACCGACGGCGAGCCCACTTCTGGAGACACCAAAAAAGTACCGACATCCCACTGCTCCACGAACCTCTCCCCTCTCCTGGGGTGCGTCATGACCGGCATGTCGAGGCGAAGCCAACGGAGGCGAATCCAGCGGTGCCCAGGAGGCCCCACGGGGCGAGAACGAGGGGAGACAAGAGGCGTGGGTACCTTTTCCTCCTCCTCTGACCATCCGTCACCCCCCATGTGGCGAAACGTCGGATCCCGAGGGCAGGTTCTCCATCCCGGGCCGTCTGTGAGATGCCCCGCGGAGGAGCCCTGGCCCGCTGTCTGAGGCGCTACCTTACCCCTCGGTCCTTCCGCGCCGTTCTATCGTTTGAGCAGGGACCGACCGTCCCGGCATTCCTATAGTCATACCACGGAATGTTCTTAGAACCCAGAAATGTTCTAAGAACAAAAACCATGTTCTTAGAACATTAACCCGATGTGTTACACCAAGGCAATCTCAGCCAGAAATGTTCTAAGAACATTTCGTGGCCACCACAGAAGGTTCTTAGAGCATTGTTCGGTGGGGCTATAGGCGAGCCGGGACGCTCCGCCACTGCTTGAACCTTCCCCCTCGGTCCTTCCGCGCCGCTCTATCGTGCGGAACTCCACCTCCGGAGCGCCTCCGCTGGCGTCGCGAAGGCGTGCTGGCGCCCGGCCCGAGCGCAAAAGCTCCCGCCAAGAAGGCGCGCATGAAGAGCCGAACGGCGCGCCTGCGCCCACGGGTTGGACATGTCGTGGGCGTCGTTGAAGGCCCAGGCCTGGTCCAGGTCCACCGGGCCTGCGTGGGCGGCCGGAGGCTCGGGCGGAGGAGCTCAGACACCAAGGGCTGGAGGTCGGGGGCCTGGAGTACGCAGAGAGAACAAAAAAGGACCGCGACGCCGAAGTACGGTGGGGGGGATGCGGGAGGAGATCCCCCCCAGCTGCCCGCATGCGCTGAGCAGGGGCCCAGGTGAGTCCACGAACGCACGAGGGGGCGCCGGCAGGAAGAAGCAGAGGGAGGGGGCAGCATCGGGCGCAGACCAGCGAGAAGAGCACCAGCAGGAGGAGGGCGCCAGAAGGCGACAGCGGCAAGGCACACGCAGGGCGGATGGAGCGACAACAGGAGGGGCCGCGGGGGGAGCCGTCGGGGAGGATGGGCAACCCCCTCAGGCGCAGCGGGGAAGATACTTCTGCGGCAACTCACGGGGACCTCCCATACCATCTTGTCGACATTTGCGAGCCAAGTCCAAACGACGCTGATCGACGCCACATCCACGTCAGATCGACGCTAATCGACACTCGTCGACGCTAATCGGCGCTGCCCCATCGGTTACCAGACGCCAATCGACGCTACCGCGCTCTAAAGGAGGGATCACGCTCACGATGGTGCACACGGCTCCTATGACTTGCTCGCCACCGAAAGATACAAGGGGGGAGGGGGGGGGCTGCCCCAAGCATGGGGCCGGAACGGAGCAGACACTGCATCGACTCAGGGTCGCTCAGCGTGAGATCTGACCGAATGATCAGGCAGGGCCGCGCTGTAAAATCAGAGGCTGCAGCGACTCCCTGGGCCACTGGGCCA